ATCGTTCAAAATATCTTCAACATAATTTACTGATTGAGGAAAACGAGGCCCAGGAAGACAAAGCTACTTGTCCAAAGCCTATCAGCTTTAGTGACAGAGGCAGGACCAGAATTCAGGGGAAAGAGAATGGAAGGGCTCCCCAAGGCACCTGCTCCTGCTGGGCCTATCCTGTGGGCCATCCCAGGTTTGCAGATTCTTTTTGAGAGGGGTCATAATAAAATGGAAAGAGCCCAAGACTGAGCATTAGGAGTCTTGGGCACTCGCTTCATTTCTGCCATCGAATTAGCTATGCAACTCCAGGCAAAGTTTTACTTCTCTTGGTTCCTTCACCTAAAAATTGTGAGTCAAACAAAATGATCTTTGAAGTTTCTTCCAGCTGTGACCGTCTGAGATTTCTTTAAATATAGTATCAGTTCAGAGAGTTCTGCAGAGCCAGTGGGAATCTTGTGTGTCATGATAACCCGAGGAACAGTGCTCTGGCCACTGGAGGCAATGGGATCCCAGACCAGAGGATACCATGGTGCTGTTGTAGGCTGTCTGGTGACCTCTACTGTCCCGAGCTCTGGGAGGTATCTCTCCCACTCTGATCCTGGTCTTTCCCAGAACCTTTGGCAGCTCAGTGGTGCAGCAGATAGAGTGCCGGGCCTGGAGTCAGGAAGACTCATCTTCCTGAGTTCAGATCTGGCCTGAGACATTTACTAGCTGTGTGACCCTGGGCAAGTCACTTAATCCTGTAGGCCTCACTTTCCTCATGAACTCGAGAAGGAAATGGCAAACCACTTCAGTATTTTTGCCAAGAAAACCCCAAAAGGGGTCATGAAGGGTCACATATGATTGAAATGACTGAACAACAACAACATGATGGACGGGATATTTGAGAACTATTAAAATAATAGTGGCTCGAAGTAAAGTAAGACTGCTCGAAAGGCAATTCAGGACTTCTTTCCCTTTCAGAACGTGCAGGTGACACTTTGTATGTGTATAACTGGGGCATTATGATACTTGGGATCCTACAACAGTAGCATCCAAATTAGCTAATGTGCAGCCTGGTGGTATAATGGATAGAGCACTGGACCTGGAGTCAGGAAGAGCTGAGTTCAAATCCTGCCTCAGACGTTAACTAGCTGTGTGACCCCGGCAAGTCATAACTTCTCTCAGACTCAGTTTCTTCAACTGTAAAAGGGGCATCATAAGAGCATCCACTTCCCAGGATTGTTGTGAAGATAAAATGAGAAAATATTTGTAAAGCACTTTGTAAACCTTATAGTATAAATGTTAGCTATTATTAACATACATTATATACCTTCCAGAATGGCAATGTTAAGCTAATAAGTGAATTATCCAGTGAGGGAATGTAATATTTAAGTTTTCCACCAGATGGAGAGATATTCAAGCTACTTGCTAACTGGTCTCATCAGAGTCTCTCAGGTGCATGTGTGAGAGTCTCCCAAAAGGTTGCAATATCACCTCTGACCATCAGAGGAAACTGTCATGCCCCACTCTTTGTGACCCCATTTGGGATTTTCTTGGCAAAGATATTGGAGTGGTTTGCCATTTCCTTCTCCAGTTCATTTTATACATGAGGAAACTGACACAAACAGAATTAAATGACTTGTCCAAGGTCACCACAGCTAGTAATAAGTGTCTGAGGCCAGATTTGAACTCAGGAAGATGAGTCTTCCTAATTTCAGGTCTGGCATTCCCAGAGGAAGATAAGGAAGAGGGTGCCAGAGGAAAAGTCCCAAACTACCTGTACTTGCATGTAGTAGAAAGTGTTCAAGGAAGAAGCATTGTGCCCTGGTCTCCATTGTCTCAACATTCAGGTGCCACAGATTCAGGTTATGCTTCCTCTGCTGGTGACATCATTGCCTGACATAGTCTTGGGTCCCACTGCCCGGCACTCCCAATCCCAAAGTCTTAAGCTGATGGCAAAGGCAGCTCACTGCCCTCTGCCCTGAATGGCAACCAGAGAGCATTCAGCTCAAGGGCAAAGAAGGAAAAGTGCTCCAGACATGTATGCCATGTATGTGTACAAATCCCATGCCCCCTTCTATCCTATCTCATGTCTTTTTGCCAGTTGTGGAAGTACTTAGGGCCATATGGCTTCTTTCCCAGTGTCTCACAAATTCTGTTTCCCTAGGCAGGAAACATCCTGCAGAGATGAAGTGGTGCCCACAGAAACACTTGATACACAAAGAAACCATGATGCAGAGTAGGAATAAAGACCCTCTTTGGCTGCACCACCCCAGGGCAAAGGTCCTTGTTGTTTCATGTGTATTTACCACTAAAGAATGCAGCTTCACCCGGAAAACCTCGGGTTTCAGGGCGTCAGCCCTGAGCTTGCTCACTTCTCTTGGGTTCCATCTGAGGAGGATGCTGGAGGGCCTTTTTGCACAGGAGTTTCCATAATTCAGAGACTTTTTCTTCAACCTACTTCAAACCCCACTTGAAAGCCTAGTATAAATCACAGGCTGGGCATGCTCTCACCCAGCCCACAATGTCCACAAGCTTAAGTCCTAGACATGTATATGGTTTGGCTCTCCATTCACTTTCACCTTCCACACTTTTGGTATGATATACTTTCAGAGGTGTCACTAAAATGATAAAGAATTGCAAGAAAAAGGCCATGTGGCCCTGTTGGGGCCTGAAAGCAGGGCAACTAAGAAACAGTAATTGAATGGGACTCAATCCATGGTAATGTACTTGCCAACACCCTAATAACTGATGTGAGCTTTTAATTAAAATTTTTTTAACATCTCAATGTTTATTTAGGGGCTCATTATAACAATACCTTACACTTGTATAGATTGTATACCTTTTAAAGCACTTTCACCTACTGGGATCCTGCTGTAAGCTGGGCAGGCATAATTACCCCCACTTTATCAATAAGGAGACTGAGGGGCAGAGAGGGGTTAGGTAAATTGTCTAAAATCTTATGAGTAATCAGTGACAGAGCAGTACCCAAACTCCTGGTCCCACACTCTTTCCACTGTATTGCTTTCCATGGCATCTCCAGGGAATTTTAAGAGATCAAAGGCTTCCTTTTAGATGAGTTCAGTAAGTAGACAATGGGTTTGCTATTCAAAAACTCAAGGTGGGAGGATGGGAATTGAGTGATGGAGTTAGGAAGAAGGGAATATACGTGGGAAAAATTCACCACAAATAGCTTTGACCAGATTCTTCACTGTCCACTCAATCTGGGTGAAGCACTATGTCCTGTGGACCGCTCTCTTCCCTCTGATTACCTTCTTTTCCTTTCTTTCTTCCGATATGGACATGAAAACCATTTGGCAATGGTTGCCCTATGATAGAGCAAGAGGAGGCTCGAAGCCAGAAAGGAATAAAGAACTCTCTTCCTGAGCTGAGTCAGTCAGCAAGTGATGCTCATTAGCAGAGCTGACTCAAGGCTGCTTTATTACCTTCCCGTGGGCTGCTACCCTGCCCCCTAGGCACCCTGGCAGGTGGCAGCCTGGCACACCTGCATACATAATGGGACAGGCGGCCTGTGGCAAAGCAAACTATTCCTGTACATTATCAGCATTAAGACCTGGTCATCATGAATAATACAGGGTTTTTCTGATATATTATCTTATCTATCAGTGACACACGGTACTTCCATCAGTGGCACAAAATCACAGAATACCAGAGCTGGGCATCACCTAGCCCAACCTCCTCATTTTGAGATGAGGAAACTGAGGCTCAAGAGGTGAAGGGACTTGCCCATATAATGATCTCTGACATAGGTATTGTTGGCTCAGATATTGTTTCCCAAGCAATAATTCTCCTCCCTTTTAATGTTGTTGGGGAGAAGCCAGAAAGACTTAGAGGTGAAGCAGAGAACACAGAAGTGAACCTCTGGGGGCTGAGGACAAGGGAACCGTTGATACCAGAAAACAATACAGGATGTAGAGGCTGGATGCTGAGAAGAGAGACCCTTGAATCACGAACACAGCCTTCCCAGACTGTCCTGGGCCCCGCCCTGATACCCTGCTTCTACTAGATGGGTAATCTGCCCTTAAAAGATGGAGGAGGAGGAGGAGGAGAATGATGATGATGATTCACATTTATATAGCACTTGGGGATTGACAAAGTACTTTCCTCACAATTCTGTGGTGTAATATTTCCTCCATTTTACAGCTGTGGAAATTGAGACTTAGAGAAATGATGTGATTTGCCTATGACCACATAGGCCCTATAGGGCAACTAGGTTGGCACAATGGATAGATTGCTAGACCTGGAGTCAGGAAGAATCATCTTCCTAAGTTCAAATCTAGTTTCAGACACTTACTAACTGTATGACTCTGTGTGAGGGACTGTCTGATGTTGGCAACTGCCAGGTGGGTGCTGTGGCAAGATTAGGGTAAGATCTGGGCATTTGGAAGTCGAGGCAGGGGCTGTGGTAGGTGGAGTCGTGGTGAACTGGGATGGGCTGGGTACGGAGAAGCCCTGAGGCAGTGGGCAGTGCTATGTGAGATAAGCTGGGTGCAAGGAAGTAGCCGGAGCTTGTGCTCCTGAGGCAAGGGGCGGTGCCACGTGGGAGTGGGACGGCAGAGGACGAGTTCCCTTTGCTTAGTCCCCTCCCTAAGTGCAACGTCAACCCCAGACGCCTCCTTCCTGTGACCTTCCTGACTTCCTGGGTCCCTTTGTGTAGCACTGACCCCAGACGCCTCCTTCCTGTGTCCTTCCTAACTTCCTAGGTCACGTACTCTGTCTATGCACTAATCCCAGACGCCTCCTTCCTGTATCCGGTCCTAGCCTCCTGCGTCACTCCCTCTCCCTTGGTGTACTAAACTCAGACAGCCCCTTCCGGCATCTGACCCTACAATCATTGGCTAGTAAGCGGGCTGGGGAGGAGGGGCTAAGTAGGTACTTAAGGACGGGAGCGTGGTCAGATCACGCTTTCTCTTGGCTCCTGCTCTGTTGCTCCGGCCTTGCTGCTTGGGCTTGGGCTTGCTGTGATGGCCTCTGAATAAAGCTCTGGTGTTGGCGCCTCCTGATGGCTCGTCTCTGTGTGTTTATCCGGTTGAGGACTGAAGACTCGAGAGTGAGTATAACTCTGGCAGCCTGCTCCTTATAGGAGGAGAGGGTACGGCGCGGCCGGCATAAGGTCGGCGCGGCAGGTACAACTCTGGGCAAGTCACCTAACCCTGTTTACCTCAGTTTCTCTATCTATAAAAATGAGCTGGAGAAAGAAATGGCAAACCACTATAATAACTTTGCCAAGAAAACCCCAAATGGGGCCGAAGAGTCAGACATGACTAAAAAAATGACATAGTTACTGAGTCTAAGATCTCTTCCTTTCATACTCTTTCCATCATCTTATATTTATGGAAACTTGCCTCTCTCCAAAAGACGCTGGATCTCTGGCTACCCTCTCCAGTGCTAATTGCTCCTTCTCTCATGTCACTAGGCCAAAAGGAGTATTCACTTTCACTTCCAGATCCCCCCTCTGCCACTATCACTCAGCAACTTCTCCTTCTCCACTCAACTATATCAACTATCTTAGATACTTGTTATTATCCATCAGGATCATTATTCCTCTTTTCTCAAGGAGCTTAGTACTTGGCTAAAAGTCTTTTTGTCTACACCTGCCCTCATATTTGGGGACTTCAACATACATGTTAACTACCCCTCAAGCACCCTGACCTTTCAGATAATCAACTTCTTCAACTTCCTTGATTCACATCTTCACTTCACCTCAGTTGCCCACAGAGATGGCCGTATCTTAGACTTAACTATCATTCATAAGTGTACTACCTTCAAGATTTTGAACTCTGGAATCCCCCTGTTTCATCATAGTCTCCTCTCCTTCCATCTCTTCCTGGTTCACTCATTTTAAACCTATTCTTCAGCCTTACCACAACCTCTCTATCCTTCTGTTTTCCTAGCTTACTATCATGGTTGTGCTGGCCACATTTTTTTTCCTTAATAGTTCTGACTTATCATAAACCAATTGTCTTTCACCTTTGTTTCCTCTAGTCTCCTCATCCTATTGCCACTGACATTATGCCAGTCCTCAAGCCTGGGTCACCCCTCCACCAATCACCTTCTCTGCTCTTCGTTTGGTGAAGCTGAACACCACTACAGTTAGGTATGCAACTAAGCTAAATTGATTCACCACAAATTCATGTTTTCTAACCTCAGTTCTACCATCGCTACTGCATGCCCAGCCTTTCATTCTTTTTTGGTTGATTTTCTAACCCATTCAATGTCAATGGAGGAAAGCCAAAAGCTTTTCTCTTCTCAAGCACCAGTACCGCCCATTAACACCTTCTTTTTGCAGATGTTTTTGCCTCCTACCTTAATGAGAAAAAGAAGGTTTCTTCATCTCCCCTACTCCATATCCATACATATGAAACCATGATCTCTGCTTTTACTTCAGTCTCTGAGGAAGAATTCGTTTTTCCAGGGGGCATGTGGAACCAGCTCAAACACCCTCTCAAGAACTGATTGGCAGGTTTTCGGTGTGAACATTTACACAATAAAAATGGACAAAGACAGCAAATAAGGGCTTGATGTATTATTTTATTGATTCGTAGACTTAAGAAAGTAATGGAGAAAATCTTAATAATGAAGATTAAAATGAAAAATGTGTCATGGGTACGTGGGTTTTTTTTTTTTCCCAGGAGAACCAGTTGTTAAACATTTTCCAGCCCACTGCTAGGTTCTCCTTACCAAGGCCAGTTCCTCTACTTATGCCCTAATCCTTCTCAATGCCAGTATATTTCAGAAGTTTATCCTGTCTCTCTCATCTTGACTTTCTCCCTATCTACTGAATCCCTTTATTTCTGCCTTTTGTTATTGTTCAATCTTTTGCAGTGGTGTTCAACTCTTTGTGACCTCATTTGGGGTTTTCTTGGCAAAAATACTGAAGTGGTTTGTCATTTCCTTCTCCAGCTCACTTTCCAGATTAGGAAACTGAGGCAAACAGGGTTAAGTGACTTGCCCAGGGTCATACAACTAGTAAGTGTTTGAGGTCAGATCTGAACTGGGAAGATAAGTCTTCCTTACTCCAGTCCTGGCACTCCATCCATTGCACCACTGCTGGGTCAGGTCTGCCTCATTCTTAGAAAACCTTCATTTGAGTTTGCCATCCCCTCAAACTATCATCTTCTATCACTCCTCCCTTTCATTGCCAAACTCTTAAAAAGGACTGTCTACACTCCACTGTCTATACTTTTTTAATACTCACCTCTTACCCTCATTCCAATCTTTTCAACTTTATCACACTATTGAAATTGCCCTCTCCAAGATTACTAGTGATCTCTTAACTATTAAATCTAGTGGCTTTTTCTCAGATTTCATCCTCTTTGACACCTTTCTGCAGCTTTTGACACTTTTGGCTCCTGCCTCAGCTTTTCTGACATGGCTGTCTCCTGGGTCTCTCCCAACCTGTCAGGCTATTCTATTTGGGCTCTATCCCAAGTCCTTACCTTTTCTTTCTCTACTCTTTCCTTTGCTGATTTAATCTGTTCCTATAGATTCAATTTTTATCTCTATTCAGACGACTCCCAAATGTACATGTAATATTCAGATTAACCTCTCTCAAAGTCGAGTCCTAAATTTATCTTTATATTTTTTCATGTAAGTGTTGTATTCCCTCAGTTGAATTTAAGTTTCATAAACACAGCCATTAGCTTGCCTATAATACTTGCTGAATTGAACTGAAGGCAGGGGCTATTTAATTTTCAGTTTTTGCATGTCTAGCACCTAAGACAGGGCCTTGTACATAGTAAGTACTTAACAAATATTTGTTGAATTGAAGTAGCTTAAATTTTAACTCCCCAAAGTCTCCGGCCTGCAAGTCCAGCATTCCTTCTACTCCATCACACTGGGGCAGACAAGCAATAGGCACTTCAACACTTAATTAGATAAAGAATAATAGAGTTTTAGAGTTGGAAAGATGGGTCTTGTGAGTATGAGAACTAGTGAGTTTGTCCATCCATCAAATATTTCTGGAAAATCCATACAAGTATGAGAAACTGAGGTTATTGCTGTTGTCTAGTAGTGTCTGATTTTTTGTGACCCCTGTATAGGGTTTTCTTGGCAAAGATACTGGAGTGTTTTGCATTTCCTTCTCCAGCTCATTTTACAGATGAGGAAACTTAGACAGATAGGGTTAAGTGACTTGCCAGGGTTACACAGCTAGAAATGTCTGAGGCCAGATTAGAACTCAGATTAGGGCTTCCTGACTACGTGCCAGGCACTCTACCCACCGTGCCACTTAGCTGCCCCAGATGCTGAGTAGATGGGATAAAAACAAGGCATGTTCACCAGACAGCGAGTAAGCCATAGGAGAGACCACTTGAGACTGTGGCTGTAGAAAGGCAGATTTCCCCAATAAAAGAATATGCTCCAACCATTAAAGGGTATCCCCCTCCCTAATCTTCCAGATGGACACTATCATCCTTACTTGCTTAGAAACTGCACGCACGGGGAGGGTCACTCCTTTAGCATGTCCATGGAGTTCAGGTTCAGTGGCCAGTCAGGAAACTTAAGCAAATGAGTTGGTCACACGTGACTGGAAGCTCATTCCCCATAATTCCTTGGCAGTCAATTTGACTGGCAGATGGGAATGCTAGGATGGGGGTGGGGGAAGCACCTGCAAGGGCAGCTGCTATACCGTCATTGCAGAGGTGGAAAGACTGGGGAGGTAGAAGATTGTATATACTGTTAGAAGAAACAGCTGGTGCGTTGGTTGGGGTTTTTTTAAGTTGTCTTTTTTTTTCATTTTTGTTACAAGGGAAGGCTTACTGGATGAAAAGAGAAAGATATATTTGGAAACTAATATGATGTAAAAATTAAAGAAATAAATTTGAAAAAACCTAATGGGAACACTCCAACAATAGAATGTACTGCTTGATATTTAGTAAGCTTTCTGTAAGTCAGTCAATAAACATTTTAAAAGCACTCACTATGGGCCAGGCACTGTGCTAAATAAGAGGGTAGAAAGAAAGGTAAAAGATAGTCCCTGCCTTCTAACAGGTTGCAGTCTCATGGGGAGGCAACATGCAAACAACTATGTAGAAACAAGCCATATACAGGATAAAAAGGAAGTAATCAAAAGAGGGGAGGTACTAGAAGTAAGAGGAGTTGGGAGAGGCTTCCTGTTGAAGTTGGGTTTTTAGCTGAGACTTGCAGGTAGCCAGGAGGTAGACACGAGGAGGGAGAATATTCCAAGCATGGAAGACAGTCAGTGAAAATGGCCAGAGCTGAGAGATGGAATGTCTTGTTCCAGGAACAGCAAGGTGGTCAGTGTCACTGGATCAAAGCAGATTGTGGGCTGGATGTAAAGTGTAAGAAGACTGGAAAGTTTGGGGGTGGGAATTAGGTTAGTAAGGGTTTTGAATGCCAAACAGGATTTTGTATTTGATCCTGGATGTGATAAAGAGCTCCTAGGGTTTATCGAGTGAGGGGTGGGGCATGGTTGGACCTGCACTTTAGGAACATCACCTTGTGGCTGAATGCAGGATGTACTGGAGTAGGGACAGAGTTATGTCAGGCACACTCTAGCAGGCTATTGCACTGTGACTGGAAATCTTCAAGCAAAGGCTAGATGACCACTCCTTTGGGGATACCTCCAGAGAGAGTTCCTGTATCATATAGGAGGTTGGGCTAGATCTACACTGAGGTCCCTTCCAACCTATTCATAGCCTGATTTTATGAATTTTAGAGGTCATGCTGCTAGGTTAGAAAAGATCACAGAGGTTTTAGAGCTAGAAACAAGTTTAAAAATGTAGTCCCAACTCCCTCTTTTGGCGGGGGGGGGGGCTAGGCAATGGGGTTAAGTGACTTGCCCAGAGTCACGCAGCTAGTAAGTGTCAAGTGTTTGGTCTGAGGTTGGATTTGAACTCAGGTTCTCTTGACTCCAGGGCCAGTGCTCTATCCACTGTGCCATTTAGCTGCCTCCTAACTCTTTTATACAGATGAGAGAAATAAGGCCCAGAGAACTGAGGTGACTTGTCTAAGTGTGCCAGGTCCTCTCCATCCAGAAGCAATACTTCCATTACACCATCCTGCCTCTAAAGGTATAAGGAAAGGCAAAAGCTATGAAACTATCCGAATACATGATGGAGGCTACTTGTTACCTTCCCTATAGTTAATATACTTGAGTTATTGGAATTTTCAATGTGAACCACATAAAGATCACTTACTCAAAGCCTATGGTACTGGCATGGTAAGCACTGACATTTTTATGTGCTGGAATCACAGTCAGGAGGGACCTCAAAAGACATTAGTTCCAACCCATGCCCACACCTATACCCATACAATATCCTTCTTGAAGACCTGCACGGATGGCCAAGCAACCGACTACTTCCCTACAGCCTCCCATTTCAGCTTTGGTCAGTTCTCTTTCTCAGGAAGTTCATAGGATCATAGATTTAGTCATAAAAGGAACATTAGAAGTGATCTAGTTAAACCACTGTATTTTACAAATGAAAAGACTGAGACCCTGAAAAGTTAAAGGGCTTGTCCAAGGTCATACAGATAGTACTTGGGAGAGGTGGGCTGAGAGCTCAGCTTCTCCGGCTCAAAATGAAGTCCCCTTTCTATGATAATACCCTGGGTCCACCTTTGCACTATTTGGTGTTGTTCAGTCATTCAGTGGCCTCTGACTCTTCATGATCCCATGGACTGTGGCAGACCAGGCCTTTCTATCCTCCACTACTCTCGAAGTCTGTCCAAGTTCATGTTCATTGCTTCCATAACACTATTTATCCATCTCATCCTCTGCCATCCCTTTTCCTTTTGCCTTCAATCTTTCTCAATATCTGGTCTTTTCTTTTCTTTTTTTTTTGGCTAGGCAATGGGGTTAAGTGACTTGCCCAGGGTCACACAGTTAGTGAGTGTTAGGTGTCTGAGGCCGGATTTGACCAGTGAGTCCCGTCTTCTCATTATGTGGCCAAAGTATTTAAGCTTTAGCTTCAGTATTTGACCTTCCAGTGAATAGCCTGAATTCCAGTTCTCAAAAATCTTCTCCAGCACCAGATTTTGAAAGTGTCAAGTCTACAGTGCTCAGCTTTCCTAATTGTCTAACACTCATAGGCATACACTGCTACTGGAAAAACCATAGTTTTGACTATATGGACCTTTGTCAGCAAGATGATGTCTGCTTTTCAGTATGCTGTCCAGATTTGCCATAGCTTTCCTTCCAAGAAGCTAGTGTCTTTTAATTTCATGGCTGCCGTCACCATCTGCAGTGATCTTTGAGCCCATGAATATCAAATCTGACACTGGCTTCCATTTCTTTTCCCTCTATTTGCCAGGAAATGATGGGGCCAGCTGCCAAGATCTTACTTTTTTGATGTTAAGCTTCAAGCCAATTTTTATACTCTCCTCTTTCACCTTCATCAAGATGCTTTTTAATTCCTCTTTACTTTCTGCCATCATTAGAATATTAAGATTTATATTCACTTAATTGGAAAAAATTTTGTGAAGTACTTTCTAGAATGCCTCTTTCTTATTCTCACTAGTTTACCAGTTA